AAAACTAAAAACAGGAACATGTCTGCATTGGTCCCTGCCAGGAGTCCAACAGATTCTTAAAGCCACTTAGAGAGGTCAAGGTCGAGAGCTTCAAATCTTTTTGTAAGATATTCCAGGAGACAGGAGCGGAGTAGGATAAGGCCCTTTTGCCTAGTTCAGTCCTCACTGAGGGAACACTGCAGGTAATAATGTCCTGAGAGCGCACTCCGTAGCTGCACTCACGCAGAGACATGTAGGAGGAGATGTATGAAGGCAGCAGACCAAGAAGTGATTTAAAGATGAAAATGTACCAGTGAGAGAGTCTGCGTGAAGTTAATGATGTCCAGTTAACCAATGAATACAGGGTGCAGTGGTGGGTACGATAATCACAGCCAGTTATGAATCTTAGTGCACCATGATAGACAGCATCCAACATCTGCAGGGTTCTTGTAGGAGCGTTCATGTAAATAATATCACCAAAATCAATTGAGGGAAGGAAAGTCATAGATACAAGGCGTTTTCTAGCATTCAGGGTTAGACAGGATCTGTTTCTGAAAAAGAAACCCAGTTTAACTTTCAGTTTCTTTACCAAGTTTTCCACATGAAGCTTAAAAGAAAGATGTGAGTCGACCAAGATACCCAAATATTTATAGGAATCAACAAACTCAATGGGGACACCATTTGAGGATAAAATCGGAGGAAGAACTGCTGGGACCAACTTCCTATTTGAAAAAAGCATCCCTTTGGTTTTTTCGGCATTTAGGACAAGTTTGAGGTGAAACAAATCAGTCTGGATGTAGTTAAATGCAGATTTCAGAAGCTGGAAAGCCTTAGCAACTGTTTTAGCTCGACAATAAACAACTGTGTCGTCAGCATAGAAATGTATGGATGCATTAGGGATGTTTTTACCTACATTATGTATGTAGATTGTAAAGAGGGTGGGTCCTAAGACTGAGCCTTGTGGTACACCATTGTTGACTGTTAAATAACTGGAGGAAGTACCATTATGTTGAACACATTGCCTCCGGTCTGAAAGATAGTTAGAGAACCAACCAATGGTGTGATCTGAGAAACCGATTTCTGAGAGTTTATGACACAAGATGTTATGATCCACAGTGTCAAAAGCTTTAGACAGGTCTAAGAAAAGTGCAGCACAATAATCTTTAGCATCCAGTGCTTCAACCATGTCATTAAGAACCTTCAGTGAAGCAGTGGTTGTGCTGTGTTGTTTCCTGAAACCAGATTGATGTGGAGGTAAGATGTTAAATGAGTCCAGGTAATTTTTGATTTGAGAGTTTATCAGTTTTTCTAGAACCTTGGCTAAAATGCAGAGTTTAGAGATTGGTCGATAGTTGTTCAGTGATGTGGGGTCACCTCCCTTCAGCAAAGGAAGAACAAAGGCTGTTTTCCAAGTGTCTGGGATGGAGTTTTGTCTTATGGAGAGATTGAAGATGTGGGTCACAGGGACTGTGATGATATGAGCAGCCAGCCTTAAGAAATAAGGTGGAAGTTCATCTGGACCTGCAGATTTTTTAGGATCAAGATCTTTTAACAGTTTATTGACCTCACTGACTGAGAATGGAGAAAAAGAAAAGGTGTGATTTACTGAGGATTGACTTGTAGGAGGGATTTGATTTGTAGAAGTTTGGTTATTAAGTGAAGTGGCTGATTTTCCATTAGTTACTGTGTCAAATAAAGAACTAGAAGCAACAAAATGTTTGTTGAGACAGTTCAGGATCTCGCGCTTATTTGACACAGGAGCAGAGTTAACGAGAAGTTGTGATGGGAGGTCAGATGATTGGGGGGTGCCTGAGAGAGATTTAATTGTTTTCCAGAATCTGTTAGGGTCATTTAGATTTTTGGAAGTCTGAGATAAGAAATAGTTGCGTTTTGCTGCTTTGACAGAAGTTGTACATTTATTCCTCATCTGTCGGAAACTCAACCAGTCAGGTTCTGAGCCAGATTTTCTCGCTGCAGCCCAAAGATGATCTCTCCTGTGCAGGAGGTCAGCTAGCTCTGGAGTAAACCAGGGGCTGTCTCGTCCCTTTATTCTGAACTGACGTATATATATACACACACATATATATACACATATATATATATATATATACACACATATATATATATATACACATATATATATGATATATATGTGTGGCATATAGCCACATCAACTGGCTCCTCTCGATGTGGAGAAGCAGCAGCTCTACTCCGAGTCCCTCCCGGATGACCAAGCGTCTCACCCTATCTCTAAGGGAGAGACCCTGCGGAGAAAACTCATTTCGGCCGCCTGTATCCATGATCTCGTTCTTTCAGTCACAACCCAAAGCTCATGACTATAGATGAGGGTAGGAACGTAGATCGACTGTTAATTTGAGAGCTTCATCTTTTGACTCAGCTTTCTCTTCACCACGACAGACTGGTACAGCACCCGCTTCACTGCCGACGCTGCACCTATCCGCCTATCTATCTCATGCTCCATTTTCTCCCTCATTTGTGAACCAGACCCCGAGATACTTGAACTGCTCTACTCGGGGCAGGAACTCCTCCTTGACCCGGAGAGAGCACTCTACCCATTTCTGGCTCAAGATCATAGCCTCGGATTTGGAGGAACTTATCCTCATCCCGGCCGCATCACACTTGGCTGCAAACCGCTTCAGCAAAAGCTCTAGATCATGAATTGATGAAGCCAATAGGACCACATCATTTGCAAAAAACAGAGAAGTGATCCTAAGACTACCAAAACAGATCCTATCAACACCTTGGCTGCACCTAGAAATTCTATCCATAAAGGTTATGAACAAAATCAGTGACAAAGGACAGCCTTGGCCGAGTCCAACTCTCACTGGGAACAAGCCTGACTTACTGCTGGCAATGCGGACCAAGATCTGTCACGGGTCATACAGGAACCTAACAGCCCATATCAATGGGCCTGGTACTCCATACTCCCAGAGTACCCCCCACAGGGCTCCCCAAGGAACGCAGTCGAATGCCTTCTCCAAGTCCACAAAGCACATGTAGACTGGTTGGGCAAACTCCCACGCACCCTCCAGGACCCTGCTGAGGGTGTAGAGCTGGTCTAGTGTTCCACGACCAGGGCAAAAACCGCACTGCTCATCCTGAATCTGAGGTTCGACTATCCGATGGACCCTCCTCTCCAAAACCCCTGAATAGACCTTATCACGGAGGCTTAAGAGTATGATTGCACTGTAGTTGGAACACAATCTACGGTCCCCCTTTTTGAATAGGGGGACCACCACCCCAGTCTGCCAAACCAGGGGAACTTCCCCCGATGTCCATGCAATATTGCAGAG